GGAATGAAAGAGTGCAATCTGTTGCAAGAGCTAGTCCAGAATAAGGAGAAAATGTCTACAATTCTTTGAAGCTTTAAAGCACTCTAAAACAGCAATCAGCACCACTGTGATTACAGGGCGGACTTTAGGAGACAGACCTCAAGGGCCACTACAAACAGGCTGTCCGCAGCCATTACAAGACTCCTCTCTTCTCACCTGCAGCTACCCATAGCTACCGTGGGCATTTGGAAAGGAAACCATCGGAAGCATGATGGACTGGGAGCCGTGCCAGACTCAGTTATAAGACTTCTCCGCTGAAAGAGTGGCGATGAACCTGGCACACAAGGCAATGCTGAAGGGCAGCTGTTTAATCTTTGCTTGCAACCATATGGGCCCGGGCACTGCCCATGTTCAAAGAAAAGGCATTAAGTTACGAAGTTCTCCAAAGAAGAGCTTTGGCCCTTCAAAAAACCCAACCAACCAACCAACTATCCTCACCTGGGCATCTGCCTCTTCATATGGATCAACAAAAACGGTTGTTGTCTGAATTCGTATTTCCTCCTGGGAGCAGAAGAGAAGAAGAGCAATTCAATCTGCTGATTAAGTTGTGCCATCTCCCCCAGGTTTGGTTTTCAGAGACGCATCAGTGGAGTGAACCGCACTGCCATGCGAGGCCATATGTGTTTACTTCCTCCTGCACAGCCTCTGGTGCTTCACACGTACCTTGGGACGGTCTGTTTTTGGGTCACTTTCCACATTCTCCATAGCAGTCAGAGTCTCAAAGCCACCAACCACCCTAAAAGAGGAAGGACACGATTTCCAACTGTCACAATACACTCAAAATATTCCTGCACCTTTACATCTAATTTATGAACATTACTCTAGCAGATTTTTAAACTATCATGTTTGGGGGAAGGGGAATCAGCAACTGTATTTGGAAGATCTAAGATAATGTCATTCAGTGTGGTAGATAAGGATTTTTTCTCAAATCTGGGATTTGAATTTAAAATTAAACAGAACATGGAAAAGTCAAACACTCAGAGGCAAAGCAAAGCCATTTGTCCAAAAACCCAGTAGCCACACAAACCAGCAAGATGGAGAATGAGCGACAGCGGACAGCCATTTGTGCAAGAGACAAACCCATTTCAAAATGGGTTCACGTGCTAATGCTACATCCGTACATTTGGAGCTCATTTGTTACTCCCATGAGCTTTGAAAAACAAACCAACAGACTTAGTCAAGAAAGCAAATGTTTTTGTTAACTTCTGTTTTTTTGCCTTTTTTTTTTTTTTTTTTAAATTGTATATCAGACCAAAGAGTGTTATTAGGAAGAAAAGGAACTGTAACTATGGCACTACTGGTGGGCAGTGACAGAGCTGTCTGTAATAACACCAGTAACGCAGAAAGCGCAGGATTGCTCCAAGAAGCGCATCACGACCGTGAGCTCACAAGGGCTCTGGGAAGGCAGCAGAGCATCAAGTCACAGCCACAAGATAATGCTGGGACACTTTTCACTGCAGTTTTTATTCAGGAGGGTGTTAGATCCCTGACCTCTCATTTTTCAAGTCAACACATCCAAATACTTGGTCAAAAATATTTAAGAAAGGCTGAAGACTTTCTGGACTGTTGCATGTTCATTTTCAAAAAGTGTGGAACAATGGGAAAGTTCCAGAAAAGGATATTTAGAAAGGATAAATGGGGTGACCCAGATAATTATAAGCCTGTCATCCTGGCATCTATCCCAGCAAAATAATGGAATAGCGGAGACAGGACATGATTAAGAAAGAAAGGAAATAGGTAACAGCAATCAACAAGGTTTTGTGGAAAAGAGTCTGTCAAACAACCTTCTATCTTTGAGACGACAGATGTGGTTAACAGGGATAACAGTGTCTGTGGAACAGACTTCTGGAAGGCAGCTGATATTTTGTTTGAGAAACCAGAACGATATGAAGTGAACACAGCACACATTAAATAAAAAATTGGCTGACAGGTGTCAAAATCTGATTTTAAATAGGAACCACTGAGTCAGTATGTTTCCAGAGGGGTCCTGCTGGGATCAGATCTTGGTCCCAGGGTATTTAACACTTTTATCCACATCATCATCCTCAATTAAATTTGAAAACAGCTATACTTAGAAGAGCAGTAAATAAAGACGAAGACAGGCTGTTGATGCCGAGCGATCCAGATCCCTTAGAAAAGCAGGCTGTAGCTGGACAACATCTGTTTTAACAGAGCCAAGCCACATGGCCAGGAACCAAAAATACAGCCCGTATTAATGGCTGCGGGACAATA